CGGCCAGCCCGACGGGGTCGACGCCAGCGTCGTGCAGTGGTTCGAGGCGACGAGCGCGGCGCTGCGACGCCGTTTCCACCGCGTGATTCCGTCGCTGGCCTTTGTGCACATCCCGACCAACGCGTCGCTGGCGGTGCAGGGCAGCGTCGACGCCCACCGCCAGCCCGGCATCAACGACGACGTGCCGCTGGCCCAGCAGGCCCAGGGCTGGTGCGCCGACGGCTCCAACGGCGACGAGTGCGTCTACGGCGGCCAGGACGAGCCCTTCATGAAGGCCGTGGCCGCCACGCCGGGCCTCATCGGCCTGTTCTCCGGCCACGACCACGGCGCCACCTGGTGCTACAAGTGGGACGGCCCCGTGCCCGGCATGACCGTCGCCGGCAACGGCCTCAACATCTGCTTCGGCCAGCACTCGGGCTACGGCGGCTACGGCAGCTGGATCCGCGGCGCGAGGCAGCTTCGCGTGTCCAGCGACGTCCTCCGCCGCCACCGCTGGGAGGCCGAAACCTGGATCCGCACCGAAAAGGGCGGCGTCGTCGGCCGCGTCAGTCTGAATGCCACTTATGGCAAGGACTGGTACCCTGCTACGCCAGACGACAAGACCTACTGCCCTACGTGTAACTATACCGTCATCACGCCGGGACCGAGGAGACGCTGACTTTGCCTAGGTTAGCGCTTGACTGGATGCTGTTGCGGAGGAGGAAGGGGCATGTGTCGTGGAGGGCTTTTCCCTTCCTTTCTTCCTACTCCTCTTCTTTTTTTTTGGCGCGGACTTTCTATAGCCTTGGATTTCGATTCGGGGCATTTTCTCGTATGTAGTGAAATGCGATTGATGTCGAGGGAAAAGAAAAGAAGCGTGAACATACCGGGAGTTGGAGTTGAAGACTGGCCGTCGTCTCTTGAAGCTTTTATTTAAGCACCAGCGCGATACATATATAAAATATCCGTGTATTGTCAACCGAAAATTGAAAAATGCGCTGCAACGAGCTTCATGGATAACCCAAGTAAGCAAGTAAATTCAGAATCCCGTCGGACGCCCACCCATGCTACCCAAAGCCGCTGTTGCCTCTGAAAAATATATACACTGTACACAATGTCATCAACATATACAAAGTACCATGTAGATATGTATACCCTTTATAGCCCCCCTTACCACCCCCGCCGCCCAACATTCATGACGGCATCTTGCTCCAGTCCCTGCACATGCCGAAAAACGTGCGACAAAATTTGCCGTATTCGACACGGGCATCGAATTTGTGCCACGATCCCATGGCGTGGTGAGCAAGGCGAGCGTCTGGGTCGGTATATGGCTTGGAGCCCATGTTGCCGAAACTGCCACGGCCGGGGCTATACGAAATTAGACACACGCAAACACACAAAAAGAAAAGTTAAAGCGTAGAAAGCACATACCTAAAGCCGGTAATAGGCAAAACAAGCACATCCGACGCCAACTTGGACCGCCCCCCATCTTTGAGGCCCGTCATTGCGTTCCACCGCAATCCGACTTGCTTCTGGAGCCAGATAATGGTGGCTTCCGTCACGGCAGCCGGGCCCGTACGCGTCAACGGATCGTGGACCTTGGGCTTCTCCCCATTGTCGGCCAGTAACGCAGCTTGCTTCTCCGTCACCAGCTTGTCTTTTAAACGGTCGAGGAATCGATGTAGAATGGGATGCTGCCGAGCAGATGCCATGGCCCAATTTGTCAGCTGAACAGGATGTGAATAGCCCATGCGCCAGAATTGATTGGTATTCGGGTCCGTGTCCGCCTCGAGCCCCCAGAGGAGGTTTACGGGCCTAGTATTCGCAAGCTTGACATCCGCATCATCACCCGTGGGCAGTTCCTTGCCGTATGTCTTGCCAGTTTCCTCGTCGGTCCACTGCGTAATGTCCTCCTTTTGAATCCAGTCGGCGGGGTGCTTGAGCGGTACGGTGTCAACATCGCCGTACTATAAATCTGTCAGCAAACCACATGTCTTGCTTGTCATGGGACACAATCACCGGCAGATAAAAAAAAAAAAAAGAAAGAAAGCAAGAAAGAAAGGAAGAAAACAAAGTGCGAAACGTACAATACCACCAAACCACTTGCACACCAATACCCTGAAAATATCCACCTTTTCCACTCTCGAAAACATGGTTTCAAAGTCTTGCACAAAATCAGGCTCATATCTATCCACCAAGGAGGCAACGCCGTCATCGGCCCAGAGGAAATACGCCATCCCGCGAAAGGTGTCATTTGCGGAAACGGAATATTCGAGCCATCGTTCGATATAGCCCAGGAGATCGCTGTTCAAACGGCTCAAATCGACTTCGTTCCACTTCTGATGAACAACAAGAGGGATGTTGGAGAAAGGCACTTGTCGCTGGGGGCTGCGTTTGGCAGCCTCTGAGGCAAATTTGGCAGCGTCGAGGATATTTTCCGGCTCGGGGTGGTCTCCCTGCCACGACGGCGGGACGAACCAAGCTATTCAAGGAGTTAGCACGATGCTTTGCCATGCTTTTGCCCACGGGATACAACTCCAACGTTGCGCCTCTATCGAGCGCGGCGAGGACCCGGGGAAAAACAGGAGAAGTCATATACCTCCACCGGTAGTGCGATTGAGCTGATTAAACTGCTGAATATGCTCCCACGCCAGGGGAAACTGCTGGCGAATGCTCGCTTGATCCAAAAACCGGGGTCCGCTCGACCTGGAGAAAAGAGAAAAGAAAACGAGGCCAAAGACGACACTGGAGAAAAGAAGCACGCGCGGGCGGAGGCGCAGACAGCGAGGCGAAATGAGCATTGCGGGCTCTCTCAGCCCGAAAGCAAAGGCAGACCAGACCGTCTTGTGTACTCGAGGAGCCGAGGGGAGTGCGGGAGCCGATAGAGTATCGTGAGCCGCTAAAGAAAGTTACCTGGGTAGTCGAGTATGGTCGACGGATGGAATGGATAGGCTTTCTGTTCTATAGGGACATGCTGGCAGAATTTGGGCGATTGGGCACGCCGGTAGTCGAGAGGAAGAGAGGGAAGCAGAATCAGGTACGGATGATCAAACGAGGGGATGATGCCTTATTACGCAGGGGGCGGAAAAAGAGGGATGAATGCCAAGCCCGGCGGCTGTGCGCGAAGATGGGTTGATGGTGTGCAGGAGGTGTTAATTTTGGAGGACATGATGGTTTCCCGACGATAGATGTGACCAACCAGATCAACGGTGGCAACCGAAGGCGTCCAAAGCGTCAAGTCTCCGCCAAGTCTCCGCCAAGTCTCGACATGCAAGCATCCATCAATGGATTGCTAGATTCCAGATGCCAGCGGGCGCTGGGGCATCAGGGGCCAGGGGGCGAATGCTCGTGCTGTGGGTGGGGGCTCCCAGGGGCGAAGCGCTGTAAATGGTCAACCGGTGCATCAATGATCAGTCTATACTAATAGTTCCATGCCACACAGTAGCTCTGTTGCGTCTGGTCCATATGTGTATCCGTCAGACGTGACCCCTCATCTCAATTGCTGATCTGGCCAGCACTGCCTTGGACGCCCATGCAGGCAATACTGCAGCCGCAAAGTATTTACCACGAAAATGAAAAATGAAAGAAAAGAACAAGTCCAGCGTACCTAGGTAGGTAGATTGCACCAGTGTCCGCTCCCGGTCAACTTAAGTGCGGGGCCCATGGTTAGCCAATGGGCAGGACACTCCAACTGTTAACCAGCACCTTGAGTCCAAACAACTCAACAGCCGATAGACCAGTTGACTTCAAATATCAATTGATATTTGACTTTACACGGCCGGGGCCATCCGCTCAGCGGCCATCGTCACAACGGGTTAGCCGGTGTAAAACAGCTATTCCGTACCGACTCAACGAGTCATAGAAGCATCATGCCACCACATTAGTCAATTGCTCGCTCACGGCAGCATCAAGGACGGGCCAAGTTTAATCTTGGTCTCATCGCCTTGGCCCAGAAGACTGGGCTTAGAACTGGTATCCACCTCCTGAATGCTTGTTGTTCGTGTCATCTCCATCCCTGCTTGCGGCTTTAAATGCTTCAACCACACCCGCACACTGCACACTGCACACGACAAGCCCAACGCCAAAATACGCTGATATTAGATTAGGACAAAGTGTCCAATATTTCTATGTACCTTTCGCTCAGCAATGAATCAAACCATGCATATATATATAGATATTGCCATGCGTCATGTTTTGGGGGTGTCGTGCGGCATGCATGACTTCGCCCGTCACCTTCTTCTCCTGCGTGCAAACATGGGCCCCCAGGTAAATCAAGCATGACATCAAGAAAATACGTCGGACGGAGAAAAGGGGGGGTATCTAAAATCGTCGTAGCAGCGACTTCCTTCTCAAAAACAGCGCCAGCGCAACTCCCACAAAGAAGAAAATCAGGTTAATTCGGCTTCCAATTGTTACAATCAGTTTCGCGTCGTACGAGTGCCATGATGAGCTGCCCAGGTGGTCAAAGATGGGCGTCGATACTCGCCCGTTCAAGCTGTGCAGAGGACCAGGGAGGATCTTGAGGTCGGTTCGGTCGAATTCATACACGTGGATTACCGAGGCAAAATGGCAGCCAGTGCTGAACATGACGGTCGCGTACGGAAGCCCCAGCCATTCTTTGTTGTAAACGGTGAGGTTGCGGACAATGTCGCCAACAAAGGCATTGCCCTTGCTCGCCATCATGAACCCGATGGAGAAGCCTGTCGGGTGAGCCTCGGGGGCAACAAACGAGAAGCGTCTGAGAGGACCCAAGGCCCGCTTGCACTTGAGGTCCATATCCAGGATGACCCCTCCATAAGCGTACAGAAGCATATATCGAAGGGCGTCGATCCTCTCCACGGGATAATTGTAGTTGTCCCAGAGCTCCTTCAGCTCAGGGAACTTCTCGCTGACAAACTGGCTGGCTTTGTCGTCGGTCCAGATATGTGACTCCCAGCCAGGATGTATATCTAGGCAGCTCTGCACAGCCTCCCCCCAGCGGGCCTTCCATCGGCCTTCGTTGTCTCCCAATGCGATGTGGTGTAAGATGGGCGGCACCACGTCTTCATACGGCTCAGCACTGACTTGGTGTATACTATAGTTGGCAAAAGACACGTCGAAATTGTCGTGCGACTCGGATAGAATGAAATCGGATGCGTTGTCTTGCCAGAATATGCGGAGGGCGGCGAGTGTCCAACTTGTGTACAGGAGGTGGCGGCCGAACCACAGAGAAACGATTAATATCACCAGGGCTACCAGGAGGATTGGCCGAAATTTTCCTCCGGACTGGTTCCGGACATAAGATGACTTGTGCATTGTGAATGTTTTTTTCTCCCGCCGTTTTGTATTATTCCCAAAAATCCCGCTTCTGGTGCTTGGGAACAATTGCACGCTTTCTATCGCGTGATGGCCAGAGTGTTTGACCAGTCGGGCGATAGTTCGCGAGTGCAACGGCGATTCGAGTGCGTGCTGAGAGGCACTATTATGACAAGCGCGTGTCGAATCCTTGAGAAAGACGATGGGTGCTGATGGATGACAGAATTCGGTGAAGGGGCGATTAAAATGAGGCGCACAACGTTGCACTATGAACGAAGCGAGGAAAAGATGGTAGGTTAGGTCGATGGCACGCAAGTGATGGAAATAGACGCCAAGATCTTGGAAGATCAGTGGCACTGAAGATATAATGAGTTCAAGTGTGAA